ATAGAGGATAAATTTTTTCATGCTCAGGAATTATGATTCTTAGGAATATGATGAAAAAATTATTTTCTCAAAAATATTATAAAAAAATTGTTTGATAAGTCAAAATATTACTGAAATTTTGACTGAAAAAAATTTACATTTTTTTCAACACATGAGATTCCAATAATACCACCCCTTTGGTGGTATTCTTAGATGACATTTTACAAGAAAATTGTAAACAACAAAATTTGGACAAAATCAGATTTCAATTTTTTTTTTCAGAAACTTTATATCAAATATGAATAAATAAGATTATCATTATTACTTTTGCGAGAATCTCATAATATCTCCCCTACCAAATAGCACATTAAATTGTTAGCTCACCTAAATCTTATGCATATTATGAATTATTCGAGTTCATTGACTTGAATTTCATTTTTCTTATTATCACTAATACAAAAAATCTAAAAATTTAAATAATTTATTCCACTGGCTCATTAAATGACTTAACAATAATCTATACTTAAAGTATTTTGATTTTAATTCTTATTTATAATGGGTAGATGTTTATTGGGTTAGACTAGGGTTGTTAAAAACGAGACAACCCGTTGGGTTGGCTCGTAATCCACCAAAATTGAGCCGGGTTGGGTTGGCAAAAATGAGCTGCCAACTCGACCCGAGCCATCTCGTGAAAAAACAAGCTAACTCGCGGGTCAAACGAGTCAGTTCGTGGGTTGAGATTTTTTTATTTTTTTATAAAAAATATAAAATATAAGAGGTAGGATCCTTTGACATCGGTGTCAAATTCAAAATTTGACACCTCATCTGAGAGCCATTAGATCAAAAAAGATCAATGGTGTCACATGCTTACAAATCAGAGCCATTGATCTTTTTTGATCTAACGACTCTTAGATGAGGTGTCAAATTTGACACCGGTGTCAAAGGATCCTGCCTCAAAATATAATATATAAAAATGGACAAAACTCACACATGTTGTCATCATTTTTCTTCCTTCTCTAGACCTAAGAACCTAATCTTCTCACATCCCTGCCATTTTTATATTGTTAGGCTGTGCTGGCTCTGTTTGGTTCAAATATCTTACCCACTTGGTATCAAGTGGTTCTGATTGTTTCTTGATGTTGATGCAAATTTGTTGTGAAGAAAATTCGAAACTAAAATATTTTGCTTGTATTTCTCATTTTGTAACCCTTTGTTTAAGCTGATGGAAGCTGCATAGCTAATGCATTAATACTACAGGGTCATTTAAATAGGCTGAAAACGAGCCAACCCACGAGCCAATTTTCGAGCCAACTCGCGAGCAGATTTTTCAAGCCAACCCACTAGCCATATTTTGGTGCTAATCCGCGAGCCAACCCTAACCCGACTTGGGTCGGGTTGGATTTTCTGGCCCGTTTTTTTTCCGAATCAATCCTAACTTAGCTCGTTTTTTTCGAGTTGAATGCGGGTTGGGTCGGATTGACCCGTTTTGCCAATCCTAGGTTAGACTACGCGCTAAATTTCTCTCTTGCCAATTCTCAACGAGTATTGTAACTAACAAGAAACAATAATGCTTTTTGCACATTTATACACTACACATTACTTCTTCTTCTTCTTCTTTTTGGAGAATATATATATATATATATATATAAAATTCATTTCGGACAGTTGAACCTTTTCAAATTGTTTCTTTTTAAGAACCAAAAAGATTTGTGCCAAAATAATGGATGCGAAGAAGAATAAGAGACCTTGGACACGTAACGGATCTTGAAGTACTATTTCCGCGTCCCCCTGACCAAACCCACCCACATTAGGATTACTCGTTAACGGTTGATCAAGTTTAATAGATTCGCCCTCTGAAACAACACTGGTGTCAAATTTCAATTTTGACACCTCATCTGAGAGCCGTTAGATCAAAAAAGATCAATGATATCACATGCTTGCAAATCAGAGTCGTTGATCTTTTTTGATCTAACGGCTCTCAGATGAGGTGTCAAAATTGAAATTTGACACCGGTATCAAAGGATCCTACCTCTCTCTCTATATATATATATATATATTAACACTTCACATTACTTCGTATTATAATGAAGTGGTGAAATAGAATGTAGATATATAGAAATTTCTTTTCAAAAAAAAAGATATATAGAAATTTTAAATAGTCTTACCTATAATCATATGTTAATGCGAGGTAATTAATGTTTGTATACAGAACATTATTCGAACCAACCCTGCACCCACATTTCAACTTTCTCTAATTGTACATATAATATCTATTTATACTATAAAGTTTTTAAAATTATACAAAAAAAGAGGCAAAATTAAACTCTCTTTAGATCTCCACTCCTGCTTCGTAGCATTAAATACTGATTAAGGTAAGAGATCAACCAAGATAAGGAAACAAATGTAATATCTAAATATTGCACGACTAATTACTAATTAACTTGAATAAGGGTATGGGAATTATCAATGTAATAAAGACAATCAAAAGTAGGACAAATGCTCCACTATTGGATTTCTGACTGGTCCATTAATCTCCTCAACGGTTTATTAAATAGTAAGCCCAGCTAATGTTTTCATAAGTTCATGGATAACCCCTTTCACCCAAAGGGGCTTGTGTCTTGGCTGGGGCAAGAAAGAGAAGAAAACACAAGAAAACTTTTACTATTCATATATGTTTGACAAACAAAAATATTTTTTTTAATCGTGCAAATACTAATTTGTTTGCTGTTGTATTTATTAGCCTCTTTTGGTGTACTTGGATAGAATTAAAATGGATCAGTTATTTTATTCAATTCTATAAATATTGAGTGAATATTTAATAATCTAAACACATGTAAATGATAGACTCTTATGAGTTTGGAGAGTAAACCCTTTTTTGAATGAGTAAAATGTTTTTGGCAGCCACAGTCACATAAAAATAAATAGTGAGTGAATTCTATTATAAGATGAAGAGAAAAAATATTAATGAAATCCACTCACTTTTATACTAGTGTGACAGAAAAAAAAATTCTGCAACAAAAACAAAAATATTAAACCCTTATTTTATCAGATACGTCGGTAGGAATTGAACACATGACGACGTAATATAACGTAATATCAGATAGTCACGTGGTGTAGCCACCGTACAAATTTGAGTGTACATGCAAGTGCAAGGTTAGCTTTTAGACATGGACAGCATCACCATAGACTTCTTTCTCTTTTTGCTTTCGGCTTCTGGGGACAAAAACGCACAAATTTTGAGTGCTAATGCCCCCGTCGCCTGGCATCTATAATGTCAATTGGATATTTAGATTTTTCTTTCCCTTTCAAATTCAGAGCTGTGGTAGGAAATAAGCATGTGCAGACCTGCAGATGCATTATATGCAAGAGCTGTCATCTACCACACTCTTTGTTAAGACTTGGCCCCCCCCTGCATGACCTTTTCATTTTTCATATGGTGGTTGCTAATAACTAGAATACGTTGAGTGAAAGCCAATCTCATTCTATAAGACCAACACACGGTCAGTAATGGTTTGTAAATTGTTTCATTAGCAAAAGTGGTCTTTGTTATCGTGGAGTTTTCACTTTTCCAGAGTTGTTTGCTTTGATTGTTTCCTAGTGGCAGTGACTTTTATCTCCTGAATGATCAAAAGTGGAACATTTGCTACTAGGAGTGTTCATCAACCGATCCAACCGATTCAAACCGCAGAAACCGAACTGAAAAACCGAGAAACTGAAAACCAAAAAAAAATCGCAAATTTTAATTGGATTGGATCGGTTTTCAGATTGGTTGATGAAAACCGATCCAATATATTAATTTCTCTCTACCTACGTGGACCTTTCCCAAATCATAGCCTACAAATTTCTAAACCCAAGATCCATAATTCATCATCTAAACTTAAGAAAAAATCTAGTCACATCTCATTAATAAAATTTCAATTGGGTACAGCTTCATATCTCATTGCCCATAAAAAAAAAATTATATTATCGTTTTCTGATCATTAACAAAATTGCAATTGTGTAGAGCTTTATATCTCATTGCCTATAAAAAAAATTATATTATTGTTTACTGATTCTTTTGTATAAAAAAAAAAAAATTACAAAGTCAATATATACAAAAGATGTTATTTGCGCAATAATCATGAAATAAATTTCAGGATTTTCAAAAAATCGAAAAACGATCCAATCCAAACCGAAAAAAATTGGATTGGATCGGATCAGATTTGAAAAAAAATCCTAACTGAATGGTCAAATTGAAGGAATTGGATCAGATGATTTTTGCTTCCAAAACCGATCCAATCCAGACGAAGACCCTATTTGCTACCGTTTATATACAAGGAGGTTCTAGTTAAATGCATCGTCTAACACATCCAACAATTCTACCTAGTGTCCTAGACCCAATAACTAAGAAAGTGTACCCTTTCCTTGTCTTTTTCTGCCTCTCAAAAGTGATGTTTCATAATTAATACACAACGAGCTCACCATCTAAGAATCCAAAGATGATGGATACAGAAGTAGCAATCAATAATTAATGAGATTACCATTTTTAAGGAAGCACTTAATAGAAAACACTCAACAGTCTCAAAAAAAATAAATGTGGGTTCAAAAGTCTTTGTTTCAAGGAAAAGGACCACCTGAATAACTCCAGAGATTACAAAAACAAAACCACCCAACAAATTGAAAGCTTCGTCTACCTCCTTTAAAGTATTTCAAATATAGGAGCATTCATCTATTAAAAAAAATTGAATTTTTCAACAAGCATTCATGACATGGTTTTCAAACAAGTATCAAATCAGAGAGAAAAATATTTCTTTCTTTTTTCATTCTATTAAAAAAAGCTTCCAAGCCCAATGGTCAAAGGGTCATTCAAAGCCCATGATTCACACATCCACCAATCAATTTCCATTACCATAACCCATTGGAGAAAAATGCAGAAAAACATAAAACAACTGAACTGAAAAAAAAAAAAAACGAGAATTTTCAAACTCCCGCATACAATGATGTAATATGAACATTGAACAATGAACACTAGTAAATAGTAATTAACTACTACTATGACCATGTGAGCTTTGTCTTGGTTGTGGTTGTTGTTGTTGTTGTTGTTCTTCTTTAATCTCTTGAGTGGCGTCCACCGGCGGCGCATCCTCCTCGGCGTTGGCTTCAGCTACCGGCTGAAGAGGTGGCGGAGGAGGAGGGGCTATTCTGCCGTCGACGCAGGAGGAGCATTTGGTCTCGACCCATGTTTCAACGTCGTACTGTCCATGACCCATGACCCGACGACCCGAACAGAGCCTGCCAATCATGCCTGCAATGACGCCCAGAACAGTGATCACTGCAAGAACCGCTATAACGGGTCCAACCGACCCGTGACCCGAATGGGTCGTGTATGCTTGCTGGGTCACTTCTAGGGTCGGTGGTGACTGTTGCACAATTGGTGTGGACATCTGAGAATGGGAGAGTGAGAGTGTTCTTAGCTATTTGAGGTTTTAGCTTTGGTGTTGTGGTTGCTTGCTGATTTGAGAGGTTTAAGGTTTTGAAACAGAAGACTCACAAGAGGAGAAATGATAATAAGAGGTTAACATAAAAACAACTTTACTAAAAAATTGGGTCTCTAGAAGAAATTTATGTTTTTGAGTCTTCAAAATGATAAGACATTTTGTGAGTTGGGTTTATGAAGGAGAGAGGTGGAACTGGAACAACATCATTGAAAGAGAAAGAACTTGAGAGAGGGAAGTTGAGGTTAATAAACCTGAAAGCAGGAACAAGAGCAACATTTAGGGATCACCAAAATACTTCATTTTGCCATATTTTTGGTGCCCTTTTTCCTTTTTGTCAAAAATTATAGCAAAAGCATAAACTTTTTTTTTTTGGAATGGTCTTTTTGGGCTGAGGGGTGTGGTGTTGATAACAATGAGTGTATAGAGGGGATTAAAGAAGTCCAAGAATTTTTTCGGTGGAAGAGTGGGGTAACACCAAGAAAAACCCCTCATAGATAGGGACGCTTTTCCTAGGCACTTTTCCTGGTACTATAACAAGACACTTGGAGAATAAGTCTTGCTCAGTGGAATCCTTTGACAAATCTATCACTCTTTCTTTCACCGATACGTTTTATTAGAGAAAAATAGGACTCAAACATGTCACTTAAAACTTTACCGACACAAAGATTAGTTGTCAAGAAGATAAAGGAGGTAACATGATCAGTTGGTTAGATTCTTTTAAACATTACCATTTGACATTAGTTCAGAGTCGATTTCTCTCCTAACCTCTCCTCATTTGGAAAAGCAGATCAAGTTGGATTATATAATCAAGTTATGAACTAACTTAAAAAATTAATGAATCGATTCTAAATCGAGTTAAATTATGGTAAACCGGTACCAATTTTATGCATTGAACTGGGTAGTGAAGTTCACAGCGTTACTTATAGGAATTTTTTTTTTTTTTGGTGTGGTATAGGAATATTTTAATCAAGATAAAAAAAAAAAAAAAAAAATCTCTCACTCTTATGAAGTCAGGTTGTCAGAACACTAACCAAAATGTCACATTTTCGCAAAAAAATTACTCAAATGCCAGGCAAAGAGTACCTTTTATCATACTTTCACATAAGTATAATTCGTTACGATAGGTAGCATATTATGTTCGCCAATAATTTTATAACACGTGACACACTTTCGCAGAAAAAAAGCTGACATGTCATAATTCGTTATCACTGGTAACAAATTTGATCAACAATATGACCACATGTTACAAAATCATTGACCACGAAATTCTCTACCAGTAATAACGAATTATGACACGTGACACTCTCATAAAAAATACTATTTACATGCTATTTAGATAAAAAAAAATTAATAAAATGCGACATTTTGGTCACAAATCTCAGGTTGTCAAACAGGTACACTGCTGTAATCTAGAAGCATGGTTTGGCGTTCGTATATGACAATATCTCGTACCCTTTCGAGATGTGACCATACGATTGAACATTGATGACCAGCCTGCGTTCACAAAACATCAAATCAATTAAAGCATTATAAGTTTACCAAAAAAAACCGTTGGGTAAAGAATATTCGGTCATGCTCACGTTAATACATCCATGCTAAAAGAACAAATTTTTTGGGACTTAAAATGAATGAAAAAAAAAAAACCATAGGTTAAAATGATCAAAAGAAAGTTTCTCAAGCTAAGAGATTTTGTTTTTTTAATATGGTAAAAGTTAAACATTTTTTATGCATGTATTTAATCATTAAAATAATTTAATCAAATAATTTATATATAATTAATTACAAGAGTTGTGACACAATCATAGTTCGAGGGTAGAAAATGTATCTCTGTATTTGTGCTTTCTTTTCTTGTTCACACCTTCCTGCACATTCAAATGAAAAATATTCAAATGCACCGAATGCTGATTAGCTGGGCTGCTTAACATGTTGAAGCAACTTATCTTTCAATCCTAAATTGGTAACATAATGCTATTAGTTTAATCTTTTGCCTTAAGGTCAAAAAGTTCAACATAATTGTTATCGTATTTTGGGACAAAAAGGATAAATATTTCGATATGCAAACCAAGTTTTGAGCCTTTTCCTGTTTTTTTGGGCTTAGGATTTCAAACTGATTGGTCCACCTTTTCCTTCTTTTCCCTCCTCTTCTCGCCCAACAATTATGCATTATTGAGATCGATTATTATGTGATACATACAAATAAGATGTTTATCCAAACTAGAAAAATAAAAAAAAAGTACGAAAAACGATGTCATGGAATTACCATTCATTTAGCTATTATATGCGCTGCACATGGATTCCATAGAATGACTTGACCCTGAAGTGAGGTAGTACCATGCTGACTCATGTAGCTTCTTTGAACTCTGCAGCTCAATTTGAGTACAAAATTAAATTATTGTAGCCTGGAGAAGGGAAATTTCTTTAGTATTATGGGAATTTCAAATTCGGTATTTCTTTTTACTAACATGTGAAAAAAAATTATTTTAATTCATATTTTTTTGTGTAATTTTTTTTAAATCCCAAAATCATTTTTTATACCTATAACAGTTGCACCCAGTGGCGGACTTAAAAATTTTTATTTATGTATACACGTTTAGTAGCGACCACTGCCTCCCGAAAAAAAAAATTAAAGAAAATTTTAAATGCATTAATAATCAATTTTTATTGCTTTTAGTTATATACAGCTTAATATATAGACTAATTACAATTTGTTCACTGTTTTCCAACTCAAACTACTCTGTGAATTTGCTTATACATAAACATATATATATAATTAGATGGCTCTCACTCCCACTTATAATTCAGTTAAGGAGGATACAACAGCAACTAAAAGCAAAACCAAAACGATAAAGGCTTTAAACCCCGATTCACTGGTTTCTCTAGTTTGTGTGAATCTGATTAAAAGTCAATTTTAGTTTCTAGATTTGTGTCTGCAATTGCGGTCAGTGGCACATAAATAGATCCGCCAACGGTTGCACCAAAGATTTTCTCCTGCAAAACAATGGCCATAACATAATATATTAAGAACAAGAAAGACAACTTGGTCATTGCAAAATTCAACCCCAGTTTGTTGTAAAATTCTTAAAGCTGGAAGTATCACTCTCTAGGCATACCCACATGGAAGTGAAGTAGATTGACAGGCAGAGAATCTAGCATTTCCAAAAAAGGCGTGGTGGTGATGATTATGATAGTTCACAACTCAACATAAAATCTTCAGAAAATGTTATATGATTAGGAATTTAGGACAGAAATATCGAATAAATTTAAGGGTAGATAATAGAGGTCTCAATTTGTCTGTACAAAAAATGCTCGTCAGGCATCTTTCAGCTTTTTCTGTGTATATTCTTTTCTGACTCCAAGTAACTTTGTCGGTTTCTCGTTTGAATCTACGTACTTCTGAATTTTTTTTAATTTTTTTTTACAAGATCAGATACATTTCCCAAGTCCCTTTAAACTGGAATTGGAGGTAAAGGAATTCGCTTAGTTAGAACTTAGAACTATTGAGTAGTAGACGTGAAGCTCTCTAATTTCCTGTGCCAGATCATGCAAATTTGGAAGACACTGGGCCACCACAAGTACCTTATTTTTATTAAAAAAGCTAACATAAATGCTCAAATGCTTCATATGCGTTTAAGGCTTTTACATTGTTTTCTACTGTCTTCACTTGAAACAGGACAGAACAGAATAAATGTGGGGATTTTATGATATGCAGATAAAGTCATCGATGCTATAAAATTTAGTAGTTTTAGAGCCACATGACCAAATGCTTGGAAAAGGATATACATATATATGCTTAAGTTTTAGGCAAAAAATAAATATATCTATTTATTGGGTGTGAGTCATGAAATTTTGGTTAAGGTCGAAAATTAAGCACTTAGTAATTTATTGTGACATAGGAGATGTAGATGTCCCTCCACGTTAGTAATTTGTGTCCATGTGCAACACAGAATTCAAGTGGATAGGAATAAAAGGAATAAGACCACATGATCAGGGACAAGAACTCCTAGGCGATGATAATCACTGGTCAAAGTTACATGTGGAGGCCTCTCCATAATGGTTTTAGCAATATGGTTGTCAAATCTATATATTATTGTACCGTTACATCAGGTGCATTTGCTGGATAGTTGTACCATTTTGCTCACATGACAGTTACAACGGACATAAGAGATATATATATTTACTTCTTTAACTACATTATTAAGGTTTTCTTGTGAAGTTGAAAATAGAAGTGCACTTAGTTTACTGAGCCACATTTCTTTCTGATTTGTCCATTTTGCCCTGTAAGTACTCCCACATTACTAAGCTTCACCATGGATGCAGAAAAATCATTATAGAAGGAAAATCGGTTGGTGCTGTAATAATTAACCTTAGCAGCAGTCTTTGGATCCCCGTTTAGTGCTTGGTCAGATTCAAGGAGCCCTTTGTTGCTTACAAGGTTTGTGTAATACGCATTGTCAAAAGTACAAGAACTTGTAACATCAAGGGGTGCTAGAATGTTGCTGTTTGAAGTGTCTTTATTGGGACACATGCTTTGCAATTTTGAGAGGAGTAAAGGGTCAAGCACAGGATCAGGTTTGCCAGAGCTTTTGAAGTCAAAAAGTCTCCTTTGGAAGGTGGAGCAATGGGCAAAACCAATTGTATGTGCTCCTGTTGGAAACAGAAACATAAGTCACTGATGTCAAACTCACATAACCAAAATAGGTTGTGGGTGGACGATTAAGGAAGCATGACCTTTCTCGTTAATGAATTAAATTTCTATAGGACGAAATTGGTGTTTCGCACATTTAGAGTAAATTGCGTAAGAGCCAAAGTTTAAGGGAGTCTTTTTTGCATTTAACTCAAATAAATTTTAAATACATCGAGCTAAACTAAGATTTTTGTGCAGAAATATTTTAGGAGCATTCCGGTATTTTTTTTTATCGAATTGAGTTTATCTATGATGCCATATAGAGGTGCCAAACTGGGTGGGGCGCCGTTAACCCATTCAAAAAATGAGTCAGCCGATCCCGTCCCGTTTGGTGGGTTGGCCTGTTAGTTCGAACCTATTTTATACTGACCCAGCCCACTTATATTCGCCATCAACCTGTCAAAAAATGAACCTATCCCACCCTGTCCCACTTTTGAGATGGATTGAAAAACTCAGCTCGTCCCGCTCCATTTAGCGAGCGGGGTGGGTTGGCCTGCCAAACCGAGCCGGTTTTCCCGGCTCTAATGCCATATACTAAAAAAGGCAGTTAACTAAATAAGCTTCAAATATTAGGTGAAAGTGTAAAGTTAACTTATATCACCTCTTAGAATTAGAATGTTACATTCTAAATTAAGTTAGAGAAAAACTCAGCAAAGACAAAGAGAATAAGAACCTGAAAGGATCACAACATCGTTCAAGTCAAGACCCTTTGAAGTGAACTTTGCAGTGATTATTTCTAGTGAGTCAAAAGGTGAGGGAACCTGTTGATTAGCTGCATCCTGAGTGGTTGTTGTTGCATCTCGTCGGCCTAATGCAACAGGCCAAAAAGGACCCCAAGACTAAAACAGAGGAAACATTAAAATGATTTCATAAAATAGTGCTTTACGGAGGTTTCAGCTGAGACAACTTTAGTCAAAGAAAATAAAAGGAGGCGTTAATTACTTTACCATAGAAACAGCTTCCCTAGCTGCAAAGGCCAATATATCAGCACAGGAAACTGTTGATGGACAACTCCTCTCTACTTCTTCTTTGATGTTATCAATCACTTCAAACCCTCGAAGTGAATTTTTATTAGGAAAAGCATTCTTTTCTCCCGTGAAATCTGGTGTATCATCAAGAAGCACCGAACCATCACAGCCCTTTGAAAAGCAATTGAACATAATGACATATAAGCAGTTTGACATACCAGTATACTATAAATCATTATGATTATAATAGTTATACACCAAATTAAATGCAATACTTACATATGCAATGCAAACACTCCGAAAGTTAGACAACTCTAAACTATTAATTTTTCCCCATATGTAATTTATTGATAATTAATAAATATAACTCAACAACTTATCTTGCCAAATGATCTATCAGAGTATGTATATAAAGGTTAAGAAACATTTAATACTGCATAGGCGCGTATACGTATGTGATTCCATCCTGATATAGAGCTAATATACCTTAGTTACCCATGTTGTGGAAAAGAATGTTGCTAGAGTTATTGTATGTATGCCTAGTTTTCTTCTTGACACAAAATATATAAGAACTGAGAAGGTAGAAGGTATCAAAGTAGTGGGTATATACTTTTGTGGACTGGATGAGGACCAATATATATAAACACTTGTATGCATAACCAATATACTTTTATTGCCAATCAGTCAATAGCATGCTTCTAAGTTCTACCATCAAAATTATAACTTCTATTTATGGAACTTGCTCTACTCAGCTAGCAAAGCAACACTAATAAATACTAATTAGTGTGGTCTAGTTTGACATAAAGAAAATAGGCGTGGTAATTATACGTGTGCTGTTCATTTAAAGAGTTAGAAATAACGAGTGATAAAGCAGACAAAATTTACATTTACGATGCAATCATGAAAGTGCAACCGAAGGAGGGATGCGGTCATTCTGGTTTCATTTCTAATGGCCGACCAAACACTAGATCTAACAATCATGGGAAACTTGGGGCATGTTGTGTCGTAGAAATTGTAGCCAAGCTGGTTATTAGTAAAGGGAAACATAAGAACAAGGGGAGCCAAGTTAACAACCAAACATAAGAAGAAACTGAAGTTGATGACAAGTCTGCAATTAGTCATGGCTTTAGAATGTCTTTAAAGGTAAGAGGGACTTGATAACTTCAAATTCTTATGACATGCATGCGGTGTGTTACAGATTATTTATATGCAAAAAATACATTATTGATGGAAGAGTATTTGCTTCTTTTATTATTATTTTTTAATTCAACCTATGAGTTAGTGAATTAGAGGTCATGTTCTGTTTTCATTTTTCTTCAAGTTCCGAATGGTTAATGGTGTGGTATGACGCAATAGTAACCAAGCTTTGTGAATGACGTTGAGCACAGTAATTAAATTATTTATGTGCAAGCACGAGGAAATGTCTGATTGAGTTCATTGGTTATACATAGAAGTGGGAGTACCATTACTACTGTTGCTATTAAAACTTTAATGGCACGCGCCGCCGGATCTTCTAGAGTACATTGTTCGTGACGGTTAGTGTTTTTATTTTATTTTTGAGTTAATTCAATCTTAATTATTTCTATGAGATGAGTTGGTTCCTTCCGATATCCTATAAGTTTCGACTCTTTTACTTGACTATTAAACTAATTCGAAGTGCGGGACGAGTCTGAGATGAAAATATTTAAACCTTTTCCAAAAATAATATGTGAAAATTGAATTGAGATAGTTTTCTTTTTCACTTAAAAAAGCTCCCTTGATACCAATATTTTTACTTTTTAGATGTGGTAAGCAAGGCATCCATATTTTGCGATATCTTCCATTTACTCCTAGCTCGATATAAAAAATATTTAATGTCAAATTCAATTTACTCCTAGCTTGATACATTTATGGATCGAATTTGTTGTATAGCCTCCGATTGATAAGAAAATCAAAATAAACTAAATTAATAAAAAAAGTATGACTAGGATCTCATATTTGAGAGTTATATACATTGATCCTAAAAAGTATCTTTACAATCGCTTGGTCGATCGACTGTAAATGCACTATGGTTACATTTTAATTTTATTTTTTTTGGTATAAATCTTCTATTGAAGAGTGTGTACGTATAAGTGGGCAACACTTATTTCATTATTCTAATTGACAGATGACAAGTTGACAACTATCCAAAACTTTTTGTCATTTCTGTACAATTGTGGAAAGTGTAAAGGGAAAAGGATGGTCGTATGTGAGATTTTATTAGTAAGGTAGATAGATATATACACATTAAATAAAATCTTACAAATTTTGGCAAGTCTCAGTTGTTTAATAATATTTGTATCTATTTTTCTTTTTATATAAACTTATTATGTAATAATTTTTCATGGAAGAATCCATTCTAAGTAGTTGGCAATAAGTATAATGTTGAAGAGTGGATTTTTATTATAACCAAGATACTCTAACCAACCGAGCTAATAGGTCAAATTGCTATTTTGTAATGTGATATTTATTTCATTTTACACCTAGTTTTTGAGAGCAGGAGATGATTTGCTACTTGTTTTCTTCGTATGTTTAGACCACCTAGAGCCAAAAAAAAAATTGATAATGTCAATTTTTTATGAAAGGGCCAAAGGCCCAAATAATAAAAGCCTAATTATCAACTAACTCGAAGGTTCCAAATTTAAAAAAATATTATTTATACTATTTTTCTCCGTATTTCACAAAAACTCAACCATCACATTTTTTTTTTCATTTCTCTTTTCATTTCATTTATTAATACCAGTGATGTACATTAACTTACGTGATGTTTGCCTACAAGAATATTTGTGCAAGAACATTTTCCTAAAAAAATAGGACCATGTTATAGTATATAAATATCAATTAAAATTTTAGATTATGGGAATGCACACCCCCATACAAGATCAGGAAAGATCATCAACCTCATTATACAAGAGCTAGGTATGTAACCATAAAGGGGTTAAGTATTTCAATGTATTGGTGCTCAAGGAGGCTGTAACATCCCCGTCTCGAGCCGGTTCAATTAATATACATATGATACAAACAGAAACAGCGGAAGACTTAACTTACGAAAATACGAACTAACTTTTTCTTTTTCTTTAATCCTTTTTCACATGACATATCACATTGCATATTTCTTCTAATTTAATTCTTATTTTACGGAGACGAAAATCGGACAGAGTAACCTCTGTAAATCGGACAACTGGGGATTTTCCAATCCCACACTCAAGAGTTCCTGATAGACAGTTTAAACAATATATATTTCCAGAAGTACCAGTCATGCAAATATACTCAGATACCCATCTATGGGCGCATGCTGAACTTGGCTCCGTGCCACAAATCTAATAGCATGCAATCCAATACATAACATAACTGAATACTACATAGTCATATCATCATGCCTGAATACATAAATGTACAAGTATCGAATATGAACACTATGCAACAATACATCTTCTCCAAAAATACGTCTAAAACAAATAGTAGCATCCGACCACCCAGAACTCCACATCCTCATACTAGTACCTCTAGCCACGGTTAGTGTCCTTGTCCCATGAGGCTCTTCAATTAACTGTTTTCCTGAAATCATATCCCCAAACGGGGTTAGAGACGAATCTCTAGTAAACTCCAGGTTTATGGAAAACCCTCCATACCCTGGGCTCACTTCCTGCATGACAGTCAGATACATAATATACAAAACATCATATAAGCAATTATCATAACTGAACAAAGCATATATACATATCTTATCAAAGACAAACGCAGTCATTCCCAAGGGATGACCCCAAGCGAAAATCAACACACGTAACAAATATCTTTTACAAAAATCATCACAATACTCACATCAGAACAAAACGTGTTATATCAAAGATGTACGCAATCGTTCCCAAGGGATGACCCCAAGCGGAAATCAACGTACGTAACAAATATCATTTACAAAATCATCATACATATCCCATAAACATAGAGCTTACCTCTTGGAGCTTTACAATTTGCTTACTCGAAGAACAAGCTACTTATCATGCTCCATGAGAATCCAAACGTTCACAGTCCCTAGGTACACCTAGAGAAGGAATTCAACACAAAACTCAATAAAATGATATAATGCCATGTAAATATACAAGACACACACTTTATTGTTTATTTTCTTTTTACTTAATCATATTAAGTCATGAGTGGGTGGTTCTTTGTTCAATAAATCCCCACAAAATTTCACACATTCACTTAGTCTTAGGATAGTCCCAACTTAAGGCAGAATGCCCATTACAATGGAGCTATAAGATTTCTCTTTGTCTCGTGCCTAAACCCAAGCTTAGCCACCTATATAAATTATTTTACGCATATAAGTGTTCTCACTTTGCGAAATAATATCTCCGAACATATACCTCCTTTGAAAATGGCTAAAACTCATTTTAAGGTCATACAAAGGAGTTACCTTATTTTCTTTTTTTATTTCACCAAAGCGAAGGCCCATACACCTTAGAATATTATTCCACGCATAAAAGTATGCTCGATTTGTAACAGTAACTCATAGCACATACTTCCTTTGAAAATGGCTAAGAGACACATATAGGAAATCATGCCAACTTCATGATTCCAATGCTTTAGTCCATCAAATTCAAGCTTATCACACACCTCTAATCCAAGATTCATTAATTCATTTATACGATACTGTTCATCTCTACAGTACTATTCATGTATACGTCACTATTCACGTATACGACACTATTCAAAAATACGGTATCTTTAATTTTTCCAAATACATTTTCACCGTTAAAATTCTCATCCAAACACTTTTCTCAACATGAGCTAAACCTGAATCAAGCTCTAACATGCTCAATCAAACCAAATTTTCAAAATGAAAACCTAGATTCAATCTTCCTCAAAACTAAAAGAAAACCAAGATTTCTCAACATAAACTTAACTAGAACGAAGGGGAAGGCTTACTTCAAGCTCCCATGGCTTCAAGCTCCATCAAAATCCCCATTATCCATGAAATCCGAAATCTTGGAGGAGGAGGATCTCTCTCTACAATGAAACCCACTCAGAAATACTGGTACCAATGGATTCTTCTCGAAATTTCTTATAAGTTTGGCTTTGGAACGGAGTGATTTGGAGTTTTCTAGCTCAAGTTATGAGCCTTGGAAGATTGGATTTCAAAATCTCATTCTCTTCCTCCCTCACTGTCGTCCGCGAGAAGAAAATAAGAAGGAATAGTAACTTTTTTTGAAATTTCACTTATATAGGTCAACTTAAATCCAACTGGGTAAAGGTTTATCTATCTACACACCTCCATTCATAACCAAACTTTACCCAATGGACTAGAATATTTTTCTAGTCATATTTCTATTTTTACTTTCACTTTTTGGATAACTTTATTTACCCGTATTTTTACCTCTTAACTGTCATTTTAACTCATTTTTCACCAAAGGTGACTTTATTTCTTTTACTTCTAATTATTCTTCAATACTAAATCCACAATTACTAATGAGGGTTATTATAGAGGCAATGGTATGGGCCAAAGTTTAGGATAGTCATTGTAGTAATCGTAGAAGAGGTTGTGAAATGTAGAATCAAGTTGATGATATGGATGCTACGTGCTCAAAGTTGATATATTTGATGATGCCACATCAACATAGTTTTGATAATAACAAACAAGCTTGAAGAAGGAGATTCAAGAGCCTTAAAGAAGCAACATTAAAAAAGAATCGAAGTCTATGTGAAAGCAATGCAAAAACAAGTGGTCAAGTGTCAAAATCAAGCATGAAGCTAAGTCCAAGATCACATTAGAATGTATATTTAGGACTTAGAACAAATATATAAATGTATATAGTAGATAGCATTGCATGAGCTTAAGTCATTCATATCATTGCATAATCATAAAATGGTTAAAAACCTTAGTTTAATATGTTGAAATTGCATCAAAAGATTTTTAACATGTTTTCAGTACACAAGCAGCCTTGCATAACCTAAATAAACATGTTCATATTCTTGAAAATCTGTTTGAACTTGAAATAATGCATCTTGGACACTAAGCATTGAAATAGGACTAATTAAAAGGTTTAATATGTCAAAATTGATTTGTAATGATCTTTACATGATTTGAATGCTTAGTAATGTTTTTC